TTGAGAGGATCTCTGGCTTCTACCAAGGAAGAAAACAAGGTTTGGTTTGATTTATAATCAAACAGCTAAATTGTAGAGGTTTGGGTAGATAAAGTGTTCAGTTTTTATGCTTCGATATGAGTATGTGGTATTCACTTCTAATTCTGGGCATACAGTATGCTATGGTTTCTAACTTTTGTGCATGTCAGGGAACATTAAAATAAGTATTATCAGTGGGTTTTTTCCCCTTGTCCTGAAAACTCCACAGCCCTAGAGGCAGAGACTAGCAAAGACAAAATTGGCTTTCAGTTTGTACAAAACCTCAAAGCATCTTTATCTTGCTTGCTTGCTTTAGCGATAAATGTTGAGAGATACAGCTGTAAGTCTGGTGACTATTGATGGTTCTACCTGAAAGATCAACATTTTTGCTAGTCAGAGCTCTACACCTTCATTATGATGGTGTGTGTGTGTGGTTTTTTTTTCTTTAAAAAAATTACCCTTTTTACAAATCTCAGGGGTTGAAAGATAATCTGGACAGCTTGAAGGACATGCTGAGCCAACAAGAACAAGGCATTCCCCAGGTATGATCACTTATGGACTAATCCTGCCTGATCACTACCCGTTTAGCCTGATTCTGTTCAGCTTAATGGACAACTTTTTCTTCAATGTTTCTTCTCAGCAGAATGCAGCATTGGAAATTAATGAAAGAAAGATACAGGAATGTGAAGGAAGAATCAGGCAACTTACAGAAGAACTTGAAAGCAGAAACCAGAAATTAGAGGTATGACTTCACCTCTTTGTCACACAATTTAATGCATGTAAATTTAGCTACCTTGAAGATTCAGTGGCGCTTCCTTTCATTTTGTCAGTAATATATTATTACAATCTATGCATTTTTGTAATTTTAAGGAATTAAAGGATAAAGCCAAAAAGACTGAAAGAACAAACAGGGTAAGAGATGATGTTTTAGTTCTAGCTTAGAGATAAGTTTTTTATGGTCATTTTGCTGTACAAGCATTTGATAGAAGAGTGGAGTAACTGTTATAACCTTCATGTAATACAAAATATTGCATCTCTTTTTTATCTGTTATTCTTTGGTAATGTGTTAGATGCTCACTCCGGAACTGCAATCACTTTAATTGAGAGTTTGGGTGTATCAAGAGTCGTATTAGATTTTAGGACTAGATTCTTTATTCTCATGGTGCATCTTATCCACCCAGGTTTAGTACAAATGTAGGAACCAGTGAACTGTTAGAAAACCTGAAAAAATGGTGGAGTGAAACCTGTGATACACTATCTAGAGAAAATAGCAATACTTTAACTGGCTTAAGACTGTGGAAACTAAGCTTTAACAGGGTTTAAAAGCACTCCAATGACAGTAGACTTGCATGTAATGAAAATTATTATTGCATTTTCTTTTACTTAATTGTAATCTGTTTTAGGAATTACGAAATCAGCTTCATGATAAAGAACGAGAACAACATTTAAACTCCAGAAACTCGACAGACAATTTACTCTCACAGGTTTGTATCAACAAAACTGGTACAAATTTTGCAAAGATTAGAGCTAACTGGTTAGAAAATGCAGTAGAACAGATCTCAGAATAGTGGCAACCCAAATTTGGAATGAGGAAGGAGACCTCAAAATAGAGATGCTTGTATGGTTGTGATTTTACAATCCTTTTGCAAGGTTTATTGTGACTTTTTATCCACTTGCCAAATATTCTCAAACTGGACTAGGGATTTGCCCTTTCATGTGAAAAGAGAGTCTGTTTTCGTTTCTTAAGAGACCAAGGTGAGTGGCTCTGGTGCATGTACAATGATTGACTGGATGAAAATGTTATTTTAAACTATGTCAGTAAGAGTGCAGGCTGTCTCAAGTTCTTTTGTAACAAAACAGATTAACTTTTGAACACAGCAATCACCAGTGTTTTGCTCTTGTTTGGGCCTCTGGTTATTCATGCAACTAACAGTAAATTGTTTGTCACACAGAGCTCAAAGGATGGTTCCAGAGACAGTGAGGTGAGAAAAATTAAAATGCAGTTTTATTCTCCATATTGTACAAGAGCTTTGAATTTGAGAGGAACTTTTTTCTCCGCTGTAACAACCTTTTTTCCACAAAAAAGCATAAAACGCGCTGATAAAAGAATTAACAAAATCATTAGAAGAACAAAGTATGTTACAGCTTTCAAAAGCGAGGACGTGTGTGATGTTCGCAAGCATAACTGCAAGGCATTCAACTGCAAAACTCCTTAGCTGTTAACTTCTTGGATAATTGATATGTGAGAGTGACGTGGTAAATTATACGTATTTCTGTTGATTAACTTCTAGCTGCAACAGCTGCATACTAAAGTTCAAGACTTAAATCAAAGTCTAACGGCCACACGAGAGGCAGCACACACTGCAAAGAGGAAATGGTACCAGGTGAGTGGTGAGGGAGACATTCAAGAGATAACTTGGATCACAGATGGAACAACTCATTGTCAGCATTGCTGGTTTACAAATAAATGTACTATTACAACATCATTAACTAGCAAGACACCGCGAATTTCCAATAAGAAACCCTGGACTTACTCAGTTTTATTCCAAGGGCCTTTTAGGTGGGTTTAGTTTAGTTTCGGAAGAGCCTATTTTTGGAAAGAATTTTGTTGTAAAAATGGTTGGGTTTATATTTGGAAGGGACCCAGGGTCTGAAAGATGTGGGAGCAACGAAGAATTCTGTATTTGAAGACGCTGTAAACATAGCAATTTAGAAACAGTCCTAAGAAAATACGCGCGCTGATTGGTTAAAAATCGTGTTTCTATAACTCGATGGAAACACAGAACTAGCACGAGCTGTTGACGCGATGATGGCGCGAGCAAAGAGAATTTACACTTTGATAATCAAAGTTAACAAGCTGTTTTCCTTTTTTTCGTCGCGGTGTTTTCTAAAAGAAATAGAAAA